TAGATATTAAACATTGGCGGAAATTAGCGACCGACGAATTGGAGGAGGCTCTGTCGTACAGATTTATCACAAACAGAGCGAAGAATGTGATCATTTTTGTGGGTGACGGCATGAGCTCCGATACCATTACCGCCAGTAGAATATTCCGTGCTGGTGAGACCAGCCGTCTGGCTTGGGAGAGTTTCCCTCACATAGGAATTCTTAAGGTCTATATCTCCCCTATGATTTTGTGAATTAATGTATTCTGTATATGGAAGATTGTATAGAATCTTTTATAAATACGTAATTATTGAGGCTATTGATATAGAGTATTTTCTATTTTATATAATTGCTCGTGTATAACTGTAAAATGATTTTATGACTTGATATATTTCATATATGGAAGATTGCATAGTACAGAATATATTCAGAGAATATTCTCCTGTAATCATATAATTATAGAAGATATTAATGTAGAAAATTCTCATATAAAAGTATAATCAGATTTTGCAAAATATAGGATATTTTCTTGTAGAAAATACATCTTACATATAAAAAATTCTATGCAACATGTATAAAAAATTCTTTTACGATCGTGTAGTCGTAGAAGATTTTATAATATGGAATATTATAATATACCCATAACGTAAAATATATTTTATGCAATAAAAAAAATTTTTCTATAATAGTAAAAAAAAAAAAATAATAAACTAATATTAAGATTGTTAAAGTAGACGTACAATACTGACAAACAAGTACCAGATTCAGCTTCAACAGCAACGGCATTATTCGGCGGTGTGAAGACGAATTACAACGTGGTTGGTGTAGATGCGAATGTAGCAATGGACAATTGCTCTGCGAGCTTAAATACTAGTTACCACGTGGATTCTGTCATCTCATGGGCACAAGCGTTTGGCAAAGATACAGGTACGTATAATACACATAAAAATTGAAGTACAAATCGTGCTTCAAGAATTTACAAAAGACTGGAGCAAGATATTTTAAATTAATTTCTTAATGACTAAGCATTCATGATATATTTTATAATGAATCTCGTACTAATATCCATCTTCCTCAAATAAAATACATATTTGAGGTAGTAAAGATTAAATAATATTGATAATATATAGTCCTTCATTAATAATATCTCAAGATTTTTTGTAAATCAAAGTAATGAAAAATCCTAAATAACTAATTTAGAAAATATTTATCTTTCTAACGTGAAGATGATGTAATAAAATAATATAATGAATTGACAAGTAATAATATAATGGAACAGCGAAAAGTATTATAAATGACATTAATGACAAAGTATTATAAATGTATCCTGATACAGCACTTTAATAGAGACATTAAATCATCTTTTACAGGGTTCGTGACGACCACTAGGGTGACTCACGCGACTCCGGCACCCTTGTACGCTCACAGTCCAAACAGAAAATGGGAATGCGAGTCGAAGATGCCGAAGACTGCAGCAAAGTGCAAAGACATCGCCAGACAATTGGTAGAGGACCTGCCAGGAAAAAACATCAAGGTGAATTATAATATATCCTCATTGTAAAATGTTTTATATCAATTTGAGAGATTGTTAAGTATACACTTTATCGTTTGTTTCAATTCAGTTCTATGAAATATTCAGCAATAAAAGAGAAAAATTACGATGAGATATGTCAATTAGAAATATTTTTAATTTAGGTGATCATGGGAGGAGGCAGACAAATGTTGAAATCCAACGCTACTGGTACTGAATTCGATCCCATTGACACTTGGGCTGGTCATAGAGAAGATGGTAGAGACTTGATCGAAGATTGGAAGCGAGACAAAGCATCTAGAAGATTGTCTTTCGAAGTTGTTCAAAATAATGAAGAATTGTCTCGCGTAAATACGGATGAAGTGGATTACTTGCTGGGTCTTTTTGCGAATGGTCATATTAGTATGGACTGGAACAGAGATAAAGGTCCCAAAGGACAGCCGAGTCTCGAAGAAATGACTGTAACTGCACTGAAGATTTTGCAGAAGTCGAAAGAGGGCTATCTTCTCGTGGTATTTTTTATACTTATTACAATTAGAAAATCTTCATGAAATTATAAAATTTACACGACATTAAATTCTGAAAAAAATTAAAAGGTAGAATTTGATCAAATAAATTGATTGAGAAATATTGCAAATAAATAATTTTTAGGTCGAGGGAGGACTCATCGATTATGCTCATCATCGTGGCCACGCTGCACAGGCGTTATTAGAAACCGTCAGATTCTCAGACGCTGTTAACGCAACCTTGAGGATGGTTAATACGCAAGATACTCTTATTATTGTAACTAGCGATCATACTCATTCCCTGAGCTTTAATGGATACAGCAATAGAGGTTCAAACATTCTAGGTAAAATTGCTTTATAATCAATCCTACGATAAATCATAGTATTTCTTAAATCATTTTTATTGTTAAAAAAATTGGTTGAATTTGTAGAAAAAGAACGTATGAATTTTTATTTCAATTCTGTACTGATTTAAAAATATTACGAGTCTCTTTGCTCGTTGAAATTAATTACATTTTTTCGATTTTTTATTGTTAAAATATGTATTAAATTTATAAAAAAACGCGTGTGTTTTTACATCAATTTTGTATTTTTCCAAGATATTAGTTTCGTCTTTTTACTAGTTAAAATTAATTATATTTCTATATTTGAAAATAAAACAACCTCAATAAAACATGAATGAACATATTGACGAAAACGAAGATCTTATTTTTCTATTAAAATTACCTTGCCGAAATCTCATTTAGTATGTTTTAAAATTACCCAGTATATTTTAATTGAATGAAATCGATGTCAGTGTGTGAATAGTGAAACTTTAATGCGAGTTAATAATTAATTCGTCTCGTAGGTATAGCTCAGAAGTCCAAGTACGATGAAATCCCATATACAACGCTGACTTACAGCACAGGTGGACCAAATAACGTGGCCTACAAGAATAATACGAGAATAGATCCTTCCAAAGAAAATACGACAGCATTCACCTACAGCCAACAAGCAAATATCATAACCGACGAAGCATACCACGGAGGAGGTGATGTTGCTGTCTATGCGTTAGGCAAGTATGCAGGGTATTTATGTAATTCAAACTTTGCCAGTGTAATCTACAAATATATATTAAAATTTAGTAAAAAGCATATAAATTCTTTATTAAAAAGTTATGACAAAAATATGAAACGTAAAGCTATATATACTTATGTACGCATTTCAAACGCATTGAAGTGTAAAAATAAAATATATAGTGTTGAATTTACTGTGGAACCGAATTTCATTTCAGCTTATAGCTATAATGAATATTTTCCCATAAATAATTAATCTATCGTTGAAACTATAATATCTTGATTACCATTTTTTAATGAAGCATTCATAGACTTTTTGCTACGTGAAATTTTAGTTTTATTTTCACCTGTAAAACACACTAGCAAATTTTGAATAGGTACTAAATTCTGGAACAGTCTGTGT